AAGATATAGCATTAACTTATAAGTATCATTTTTAGTTGAGTAAGTTATAGTAATCGCAAAAAAATCGAAAATGAAAATTTTCATATATCTTTATGCTTCAGGGGTTTATGAACATTTTGGCATACCTTAGAAAAAAATGGATGTTTGTTTGTGTGTGTGTGCGTGTGTGTGTCTGTGTGTATGTATGTATGGATTTTTCGGGCGCACTGATCAACCGATTCCTATCAACTGATTTGAGTGGTTCAAAAAACATTCGATTCCTATTGACAGGGAGATGTGCTGATTAGTTTTTGGCAAAGGCAGGTCCAAAGTTTTCGGAGATACGGAGCAAAGAATCCAGAAAATAGAAATTGAATTTTAGCATTTCCTAAATGATACTACAAAACGGGACATGGTGCGGAACTATAATGTGCATTTAATCTGAAAATTAATATGCATTTCTCAGTATTTTGTATTGAAATAATTCTAATAATTATTAGATGTAAGTATTCAAGCATAAAGTGTTTGCATGCGCAAGGCTAGCTACTGAGCATAGAAAATGACTTTCTATTTACAAGGTTCGTAATCGTAATGCATTAATGATCACAGGTATAAGATAAAACTTATACAATTAATTATTTGAAGAATGTGGACAAATACAAAAATTTCAACAGAACATACTTATTCTGTAGTGATGTTTGCAAAAAAAAATCAAAACAGAAAAAAATGATCTCTGGCGAATTGACCTCTGTTATCTCTCTTTACTGGAAGTTTTCCGGATTGATACAGTTGCTAATAGGTTCAAATTAGAATGTCTTCAAGAATTAAATAAACAACTTATAAAAATCAATCAAGAACTACACACCATCTTAAAAACTTTTGAAAAGTGTTGGATTCCTATTGGAAATCATAAATGTAAAGAAATATTATAATGAGAAACCGGCTCTTCGGATATTGATCAACAAGTAGCAGAATTCGTACAGGCTTTGATGCGATATATGTATATTTATATAAACCAATATAAATTATATATTTTTATATATTGTGTACCTGATTATTATCATAATCTTGTATAACATAAATATGAAATCCAAAATCTTACATACCCAGTTGGATGACTTAAATTGTGATACACAAACAGCTCCAAGAGCGCCTTTTCCGCCATACACAAGAACACGACCGACAGACATTTTCGAATATTTTATTGTTTATTCACTGAAACTTGAATTATCAATTTTATGGAATATTATAATTGCTGAAGCGTCTCACAGACAAGCAACACTCTCGAGAACTTATTGAACGGAACTGTTGCTTTTGACTTTTCTTTGATTGGTTCAACTCGACTTTGACAGTTGTCTGACAACTGACAGAAGAAAAGTGTTACCACATTCAGCAAAATAATTATATAGACAAAGACTTTCATATTTGAATATTAAAATGATTCATAATAAATGCTATTAGTTTAAATTACTTTATTTTAAATATTTATATATTAGTTTAATTATTTTCGTCTACTTAAAGAAAATAATACGAATAAAAAGAAAAAGAGAAATCATGTTAAGCCGGTCTGACATTTAAATGACAACTAAAAGATAAACATTCTTATCAAGTGAAGGCGTTGATACAACTAAAAATAAAATAAACTTAAAATACTTAAAATGTCGATCAACCTTAAAAAACACCAAGAAAATATAATCAATGCTTGGAAAGATGTTCTAGACGAAAAATCTTCTACAGATTGGTATGTTCTATTTTACATGTGAAAGTTTGTGCAGAATTATTGATATACTTTCTAAAGGAGATTAAAAATTTTGATAATAAACTCATGATAAAATTATATCAGCAATGTATGTATTGATTTCTAGGGCTTTATTCGGGTATGATGGTCAAAGTAACGACCTAAAAGTTGTTTCTACTGGAAATGGGGGCTTAGATGAACTCGTTGATGAAATGAATAGCAGTAAAATTATGTATGCATTTTTAAAAGTGACTGATCCACAAACTAGTCTACACAAATATGTTTTTATAAATTGGCAGGTAAATGACATAAAATTATATTTAAAGTGATATGCAGTCCATCCACTTTCAACCTATAAAATGCTTTGAAATGCTTAGAAAAGTTTGGAATTTGTGGAAGTGTTTTTACCTAAAACTTTCTACAGTTTGCAATATATTATTATATTATTTTATTATTATATTCAATAATTTAGAAATGTTACTACTGATACAGGGAGAAGGTGCCCCAGTAGTTAGAAAAGGTACCTGTGCTGGTCATGTTGGTGAAGTTGCGCGATTGCTTCATGGAGCACATGCTACATTGCATGCCCGTGCGGAAGAAGATTTAGATCATGATAGAATCATAAAACTTGTTGCAACAGGAGCTTCCAGATATGATTTCAAAGCCCCAAGACAAGAACCTGAACCTTGCAAACCTGTTACTAGCACATATAAGAGAATAATACCAAGTAAATTATTATTAATTAATATGTTGGTTTATTTGATTTATTATGATATTAATTTTAGGTCTAGAAATTAACTCAAAGGAGCGTAATTCCTTCTGGCAAAAGGAACAGGAAAATGAGAAAAAAAGGTTTGAAGCAGAAGCACAGAAAAAAAATTTGGCTAGTCAACAGTAAGCACTTATGACAAGTAAATGTTATTATAATTAATTGAAAAAACTTATTTATTCATTGTAGACAAAAAATAATTGAAGCAAAACAACATCGAGAAGAAGAAAGTAATAATGTCAGCAAAGATAAAAAGCTAACACCTACAGAGGAAGCTAAAACTATAATACAATCAAACAGATCAATTGCTAATAGTAGAGCTATTTTTGAGAAAGCCAGCACTCCACAATTGCAAAAGTGATGACTGAAATAATTTTGGATAATATAATTATTTGAAAATGTATATATTTTTTAGGAACCCAGCACCAGCCAAGCCTTTACGAAATTCAATAGTTCAGAGATCTATAGCTGCTTTGGCAGCAACTGCTGAAGTTAAAAGTAATCACTCTTCAGAAGTAGTAGAAGAAAATAAAGAAAATATAAAAGACTTTAAAGAAAGTACTAAAGACATTGATAATACATTCCAAAATCAACCTGAAAATGTTGCCACAAATTGTGCTGAAAGTGCAGACAATGATATAAAAGCATCTTCTAATGATGATTGCCAGAACTATGATTGTAATTCAGAAACAGAAGATGAAAAGTATTCTACTATTAAAAGAACTCCGCAAAGTAACAAAGTTATTGAAAATGAAGTTGTTAAACAAGTTGATGAAATTGCTGCTTTAGAAGTGATAGGACAAAATAATGAAGGTATGTATATGTGCAGATATATCAGATAAGCTGTGAAAATTGACTGCTAATTAGTATATATATTTCAAATATGTGGAAGTAAAATTCGATTTAATTAAATCATAAGAATAATTTTCAGATGAATTAGTTTACAAAACTACAGATTCAGAAGTATATGACTTATATAATGACTATGGAGATTTAGGACTGAAAGCTAGAGCTTTATATGATTATCAAGCAGGTACTTACATAAAGTAATTAAATTTATCTTTATTTCATACATTTTAAATATTTTTTTTATATTTATAGCTGATGAGACTGAAATTACCTTTGATCCTGGTGATATTATAACACATATTGATTGTATTGATGAGGGATGGTGGCAAGGATTAGCCCCTGATGGCGCTTTTGGTTTATTTCCTGCTAACTATGTAGAAATTATACAATAAATGACATTATTTTATGAAAGAACAATAGATTAGACATACTCCATAACTTTAAGAAACCTGAAATGTGAGGCCAAAGTATTTTTAAATATTTCTCTATACAACCCTCAACTCCATTAGCTTCTGAAGGTATTCAAATATTTTAACGGGAATAAGTATTATAGAAATTATATTTCAAAGTATACCTTATTAATCAAAGTATAATATACATGTATTTGTGATAGTATTTTTGTCACACATAAGATATCCATAGATAAATTTTGTAGCATTTTTATAAATTTAAATGAATAATATAATCATCACCAAAGCCATGACATTACATGACATGATCAAATTCTAAATTCATTATTTTGGTACTAAAAGTTTTGTCATTAATTTTATTTGGTCGATGGTTGAAATAAAAGAGATGGATTGTAACTAAATATTTTAATGTCTATAAATGAGATATATTACTAAAACTTTAGTATCTAAGAAGAATCCATGATTCTTTTTTCATTGAATTTTATAATTTTTTTGTGCTTTACAAAGTATTCTCCCATCTAGGGCGTGAAGATTAATCTATTAATTGTTAAATAAATTTGAATGATTATCATTGTTAAATATTGATGGATATTTGTTAGAAGAGCATTATTTAGAATATGTAGTATTATATATTCATTTTTTATACTAGACTATTATGATTAGGCTGTTTTGAATTATATAGGCAATAATTTTTATATTATATTATTCAAATGAACTATATTATTTTTTAAAAAAATATTACACTAAAATTATTTGGGATTAAAAATGAAACTGTTCAGTATTTGGAAAAATTATGTTTTTAATTCGGTTATATTGCTTTGAAGTAGTATTTAAATTTAGAGAGCATGTTGATCAATTTTTGAAAATTTGGTATGTAAGCAATTGTAAGTTAGCATTCAATATATTTGCATGTTTGTAATCATATCAGCACATATATACATTTCATTTTTGTCTATATAGAACACGTTTACATATGCTTTGTAAAACTTTAACAAGAATGTTTTATATAATATTTTTCAATATTTTATGTTTGAAATATTGAGTGACACATTTGAGTTCATTTCAAAGGTTTATTTATATTGTCTATTTAATAGTGCATAAAGATATGTTTATATTGAAAATGTTTCAGATAAAAAGTTAAAAAGTAACTGTAGATTAATTATATACACCGACATTATTCTAAATTTGTAGTTATGCAAAAATAAAAGTTTATACTTATATTGGGTCCTTATTATTATTTTCTAAAACTAGTAATAAATTAATTGGCAAAGTAATTCACATGAATTCAAATATTGTTCAAATACCACATATTAGCTGTGTCGCATCATAACAGCAATATAATCGATGGCAAATACTTATTTTAAAATAAAATTAGTTTAAGTAAATCTAATGTGAGGGTTGTAACTAATGAATATGATATGCAGTCCTTTATAAAAATAATTATTTTACCAAAATACAACTATATTACACGTTTGTATCTTCTTGCTTTTCTTTATCCTTCGAGTGAACGAAATAGTCTTCTATTTCTTGCAATGTTTTGTCTTTAGTTTCTGGCAAGAAAAAGTATAATACTATAGTACCGAGAAGAGCGATGGTTCCGTATGTTAGAAACGTTCCATCTTGTCCGATGTTCAAAAACATAGCCGGTCCGGTTTTAACTACTACAAAAAATGCCAAAAAGGCCAGCGCAGATGCAATTCCGGAACCCAGGCCGCGCAACGCCGTTGGAAAAACTTCTCCTGTCATTGCCCATGGTAGAGGTACAATACCAACGCTGATGAAGCAAATATAACTTATTAAACTCAGCATTGGAATCCACGCTGCACCACCATTATTTCTGGTCAAATATAAATAGGCAGCCAAGACTAATAGCGAGAAAGATGTTCCAATTCCACTAATAACGGCCAGCGGCCTTCTGCCGAATCTTCTCAATAATATGCACGCTACGACTGACATAACAACACGCACAACGTCCACAATTCCCATAGCTAAATATTCATTAATACTAGGCCCCAAAGCATCGCGAATAATTGTCACTGAATAGAATGCGACGGCATTGACGCCTGAGAATTGGCACGTCAAGAAAAATATACAGATTATTATCAGTGGCTTCAAAAATGATGCTTTCTTTGCGTGTTGCCATTTATTCGTATTCGATTTGACCGAATGCGTTTGTAATAAAGTTTGCAATTCCAACAAAGACTCATCATCGCAGCCCCGAAGCCATCGAAAGGATCTTTCTGCTTGTAGAGGATATCCATGGGATACCAGCCAACTCGGACTTTCGGGGGCTATCGACATCATCAGATAGCACACGAATGGAAAGGCGGAACAAATGGCAGCCGTAAGGCGCCAATGCAGAAATGTACCCATTATATGGGCCAATAAAATGCCTAATGCTATAGCAAGGGACACAGCCGCTAGCAGGAATCCCCGGTAACGAGGCCCGCTCGTCTCGCCGATGTATACGGAACATGGTGGCCCGAGCAGACCCACACAAAGACCTAAAATATATTCAGGGAAAAAACATTTTTATGTTACGTACCTCTTGTTTGAAGCGAATTTATATAAATCAACTTATAATTATATGCTGGTCGTCACAAATAAGGATTTATAATTCGAATTAAAATATAAAGTGGGGTATATAAAATTTGATCAAATTCGCAAAAATTTCAATGAATTTTTCTCAAACTTGGATTATATTAGTAGAGATTTCAAGATTTTTTTGATGCAGTGTTTGTAAGTTTTAATCTATATTTTTTTTTCAAAAATTACGTAATTATTATGAAATATTTTCGTAATACATATTACGTAATCCACATTACTTAAAATAGGCGAAATTATTACTTATTAATCATACGTAAAAATGACATAAGTATGTAACTTTTCTTGCGTAGAAATTGCATAAATATTACGGATTTTGGCTTAGCGGGTAGTGTATTTGATTAAAAAAAATTGACAATTCTTAGTTTGTCTTCGAAAAAAAGAAAACAGAAACGTAAATAATATGTTTATCTGCCTATAATTTCTTATATCATACAAAAGTATGGTGCATTGAATTAGATGATGTAGTAGATCTAAAATATATACTTTTCTTATTATTAACACGTTTACAATCAAAATGAAAATTTAATATCTTTTGTTATAAATTAGACATAAGTTAAATATTTTACCTGTAAGGAACCTGCCGATTAATAAAGGCGCTATAGAGCTAGACATTGCTATGAGAGCCCAGCCGAGAACAAAAGGAACGCATAGCAGCAAATGGGTCGCTCGTCTTCCGTATCGCTCCATCAAAACTCCTGATATCAGACAACCCGCCGACATTGGCAAAGCTGCTACTGATGCTAAAATTAATTAATCAATTAATTATTAGATATGTTTTTAGAAAATTATTTCTTTCAATAGAGAAAAAATGATATTGAAATTTTATGAAAACTGTTTTCATAATCTCTCATACCAGGCACCCCTCTGTCTGCTGAGATACATATATATAAATAAAGAAATAAAAAACGTTCAGCATGACTGAAAAAAAAGGCAAATGAGATCTAGAAAATACAAAGCTAAGGAAATGCCGTTTCTAAATATTATAATATGTATATTTTTGAAATATTTATAAGAAGCCAAATAGTCACAATAAATAAACTATGGATTTCGACACTGTATGTGTGTTTATAATTTTATTTTTATTTTTTTATTGATTGTTTATTTGTTGACTTTGTATATAGGTATATTAGTCATCATACATTTTATAATTAATCTTATTACACTTTTATTTTATTTGTATGTATGTATATGATAACTTTACAATGAATAAATTAAAATGTATAAAAGTTTGAAGCTCATTGAAACAAATTTAATTAACTTCCTTTAGGGTGAGTTATAGTGAACACAAAAAATTTAAAATTTCAAAGATTTCCAAGGTATCTGAACATTTTGGCATGCCTTTGAGGAAATGGATGTATGTATGTGTGTGCGGATACAAATTTTCGTCGACGATTTCGTGAACACCCATCAACCGATTCGAATAAATAAAAAAAAATCGGGGGGCTGATTAGTTTTTGGCAAAGGCAGTTCTAGCCATGGTAATTCAGTTTTTGCTATAATCGGAGCATACGATTTGAATAATTCAAAATTTTTTTTATTTGTATTAACGAAATGAAGAACTGATTTTTGGAAAGGTTTCGGATATCCAATAAAACAATAAAAAGGCACACCTGGCGAACAAAAATGATCATTAGACATATGCCCATCAAATTATCTCAGATATTTTATAAAGATTTTAATAATAAGTACAAATTTTGTCTATATTTCTATGAGATCCGTTCTAATTCTATCCGTTATACCGCGATGCGGCGCTTACGCGCTTCGATATTTCATCTCTTCGCAGCCATTGCTTAGAAAAAAGGTTCAAAATTTTAAAAAAATTATGAAATATAATAAAATATTTAAATATTTTCAAAAACGTCAAGTTTTATTAAAAAATTTCGAAATTCTCCGAAATCAAATTTTTCTGTTTTAAAATTTTTTTAAAGCTTTTAAAAATTTTAAATCTACTACTACAAGAAGTTCAAACAATTTGCCTTAAGGCACTATGCCATGCACTAGTTTTCCATTTTTACTAATTTCAAACTCCTGATAGATAATGATCTGCAGGACTAAATCTGCCATGCGATTGTTTCCGAACTTATCACCCTAAGAATTACCAGTATAAAATTTTTTATTTACCATCATTTGGTTCTTAGAACAGCTTGATTCCTATTTGGATAAATTTGGAAATAAAATTTTTAGGTGCAGAACCTCTACCCAAAGACTCTTTAGAGAACTACAGAATTAATATATTATTAACTAATTTTATTTTTTAATTAAATAAAAAAATTTAATTTATTTTAAAAGTGCGATATATATAAAAATATATATTATTAATTGAACAAATAGAAGTTATAAAATGCCAATCACAGAATAAATTGATGATTAATTTAAAAGAAAAAATAAACGCGCTATACAAACAAATTTACTGAATACTTTCCATTCGATCGAAATCTTTTCACCTTTTGAAAAATATTTGCAATTCTGGTCAATATTATTAACAAATAGACGTATTTTGACTGTTGTTAGAAAGCTTCGATTAAATCCATTCATGATCTCGCATGAGAAGACAACTGAGTAAATAATGTGCATAATAAGACATCAATACTCGTAGTTTCATAAATGATTCACTGACCGGCACCGAGACCGAGCGTGATTAGTGCATACGAATGGCGCTATTATAATATTATAATACGATGGAAACATGCCATTATTAAAGCAAATAAAATATCTGCAACAATACATTGAAAAGTTCATTAATCGCCGATAAAAAATTTAAATACTAGATTTGCTCTTGAAGTTTTATTATTGTGGTTAGAAGAAAGCTTTCACTTTTGAAGTGACGCTCAAGGCAATTAAAATGCGGATGTAATGTCCTATAATTAAATTCACACATTTTGTTCTGAATTGCAAAGAATAGACATAAATGATACGCAAGTTTATCAAAATTGTATAATATAAAAAAAATTGTAATATTAGTTTTAGCAACTAGAGTAACTACATTCTATTAAATGTAATTATTGTGAATTGAAATAACTCATATAATGTATTTAATGCGCTGATTAATATTATTTAAAAAAGAAACACAAATTTTCTTTTCCCAAAAGCAATCGTTTCTTCAACACGAGCAGAAACTTCTCCCAAAAACTGCCGTTTTTTGCAAATTTAGCTCCCTATCTCCGAAATGACTGGACCTACCTTTGCCAAAACTCAATCACGTCTTCACCCCATCATTAAAAATTAACTGTTTTTTAACTTCCCGTAGGGTAAGTTATAGTAATCGCAAAAAATGAAAAATGAAATTTTTTATATATCTTTACGTTTCAAAGGTTTTTGAACATTTTGGCATACATTAGAAAAAAAGGATGTATGTATGTGTGTGTGTGTGTGCGGATACAAATTTACGTCGACGATTTCGGGAACACCGATAAACCGATTTGAATAATTCAAAAATCATTCGATTCATATTAATAAGGAGACGTGCTGATTAGTTTTTGACAAAGGCAGGTCTAGCCGTTCCAAAGAGACGGGGCAAAAAGTGCTAAAAACGGTAACTCAGTTTTTAGGAAAAAGGAGCGTCCGATTTTAATATTTCAAAAATATTATATATTTTACTTGTATAGGCAAGATTAAATTTTTAGGAAGGCGGGTCCAGCGGTTATGGACTCTCAATAAAAATAAGTTAAAAAAATGACAATTGGCGGTCAATAATCTTTATTGGGCATATGTACATCAAATTATCAGATATTTTATAGAGATTTTAATAATGTGTATACATTTTGTGTAAATTTTTTTGGGTTCCGTACCAAGATTTTTAATTACGGTACGGGAAGTTTCAGCAATTTGTCTTTACGCACGATTCCATGCACCCATTAGTTGGATCATTCAAATCGGATGCTTCTTTCTCTCGAAAACACGATTTGTATTTTTTGAACCATTCAAATCGGTTGATCCGTGCGCCCGAAAACGTGGACGAATTATTGTATCCACACATACGCACACACATACATATATAAATCTTTTCTAATGCCAAAATGTTCAGAAACCTCCAAAACCTAAAAATATGCAAAAAATTTTATTTTCGATTTTTGGACGATTACAATAACTTACTAACCATACAAGAAGTAAAAAATCTTTCAAAATTATTTTTTGGCATAGCAACCGTAAAGTGTATTAATTTGTCCATCATGAACTTTCGTAACCGTGGTGATGTAATCGTAATGATAATGTAGTTGAATTGGTGATCTCTTTACTCAAATTAAAGCGGTGTATTTTAATATTATTTTTGAATACGTAAATTTTATTTCATACACGTAAATACACACATTTATATATAATAAAATCATAATGTTTAGAAAAACATGAAGGCAAACGTCTTTTCTTTTGAATATGAATTGATTATTTGGTATGCCCACTAAACAATTCGAATGCCATAGAGAAAGTTCAACGAAAATGGTTGAAAACCTGAAAATAAGAATATATAAAACTTATTCTGACTACAACATGCTCCTGAATAAATTTAACTTTTTGTCTCGTCATACGTTGATTTATTGATAGTATTTTATTATTATATAAACTTTGTGAACCTTTCGGCTCGCCTATCAGGTTAAACTAGTGCAGGTTAAAATCGCCTGGCATTTTGATAAGTGAACTTCTCAATTAATAAATTAAATCGTATAAAAATTTGGAGCTTACAAGAACAGTTTTAATTTTTTTTAACATTTTCAAACTCCTGTTGGATAATGAAGTGCGTAAATGGAACTTGCCATGCAATGGTTTTCGTAATTTGTAACGGTGATATAGATTTCACTCAAAATCTTAACCAATTATCTTAAAATGCTCCTAGAACCTTTTTACAAATTCACATTTCAAGTATTACCAATTCCTAAGGAATATGATTTTCAAATTCACTTGTTGTAGTATATCTTCTAACTTCTAAATATAGATTTTTCTTAATTATTACTATTTATATGAATAAAATAATTATTAGTCGTCTGCAGAAATTAATTTTTCTTATATTCATTTTAGTTACGTATTACGTACAGTACTCTACTAATTGTAAACCCTTCTTGATCTATTCTGTGGGACACCAGTTTTTGTTTGTTTTTAACTAAATTTTTAATAAATTTAGTTTATAAAGTAGTTAAATAAATCATATTTTAATTAATTGAAAATGCATTAGTGGTCGTTCTAAAATAAATTTTGTACTGAATTTTAAGCTTGAATGAAATGACTTACAATTAGTAATATATGACCGCGTAATATAAAATCTCGTGTAAATGTTGATTTCTTATTTAAAACAAATCAAGTTAATAAATAATTGCTTTTATACTAGTAGCAAATACCTTGAGAAATAGCATTTTAATATTAATACTGTATAATCATGTTAGTTAGTATTGCAACAAGTTAGTAAGGCATTACCAATTATATTAAATCCTGTAAGCTAGAAATATCACAAAGTTTTAGCTTACAATTAGAAGTCAAATTTTGTTTGTTTTGATACAGGAATTCTTTTTATATATTTATCGTGAAGAAACTTGGAAACAAAATTGTGACTGGTGACATGCTTAAATATTAGAATTATAAAATAGGTTACTATATTGCAAATAAATTTTTAAATAATATTTATTTTAATTAAAAAATATTTACCAATCCAGGACTCTTGTTCAGTGTCAATTTGAATAGGACTATCTGCCAATTTTAGTTGGGGTAATAAAATCGCCGAATAACCTGATGTCATTCCAGCAGCTACAGTTGCCATTATGGGACCAGAAGCTGCCAGAACCTGATGATCAAAAATAATATTAGTTTATATTATCAGTAATTTAACATGAAAATCTTGATTCGTGAAATTTTCTCTATTTTGAATATAATTATCAAAATGATCAATATTACCATTTTTTTTTTGAAAAAAATTATTCTAGTTGAACTATTTAGTTTTTATGTTGAACTCTTAATTTAATTAAGATTTATTACCGATTAATTTACCTATATTTATAAGTATGTCTAAAGCTAAAATTTATGAAGAAATAAATTTTGCAAGAATTGAAATCAACTGTATTGATTATGAACGATTACGTCGAAAGATATACATAGTTTCAAAACATCTCAAGTATGCAAATAATCAAATTTTGGATGATCTGATATATTTTATTAAAACGTGTTGCTCAATATCTGGAGACACTTTCAAATTTGCGAAACACTATGTTAATTACTTGTTTTATGGTAGCTTTAGGTTTTATTTTTATAATATGAGATAATCAAAAATCTTCTCCTAAAAATTGTTTGACTTGTTAAAATTGACAGAAAATGAAATAATAATAAATATATTTGAAAACCAAAAAAAGGAATAAGCAGCATTAAATAAAACACCTTAGAACTTTGATAATTATATTTGATTTGGACGCAAGAAAGCTTCAGCAAAAATCAAAATACCATTGTTTCAATTACCAACAATATAATTTTTTTATTTAATTATTTATTTTTATTTAGTTTTGATTGTCTAAATCAGAAAATAATTTTTTTGTCTTTATAAGTCATTGCAATATATTATTATCTGTTTACCTGTCTGGTGAGTGGTGAGAATCGTTTTGGGGAGATGGTGCTTTCGATGAGTGTTTGTTGGGGTTCCAGTGGCTTTTGGGGTTCCGCCGCATTTGGGTCAGTGGAACAAATAACGATGGGAGGGTTGCCAACATCTTGGGGCGCGCTGGAGGGCCCTGAGGTACCCACTACATCATCGTTAGACACCATCTGAAAATAGGAAAAAATCGTTATATTAAAATAATATCAATAGATAGTATTTAATAATATAACAGATTAGCAGTCAAAGAACTTCAGCTTTAAGACAAATTTCTAATTCAAAAAATTCAAAATTATTCGAAAACTTGTACCTAAAAAAACTTTTCAGATAATGTTTTCAATTCTTTAGATAATTTAATTTTTATATATAAAATATTTTAATTTTAGAAAAAGGTGATTAAGATGAGCAGATTTTTGTAAAACTAACTATGAAAAATTAGCAAAATTTTAAGCATTCTAAAAGTATAAAAAAATACTAAAATATTTTTGCGCAAATTTTCAAATGTTTATAATTATTCTGAAATTAAAAGATTTAAATAATCAATATACAGATAAGTATACTGTAATGCAATTTTGACTGCTATAATAATTATATTGCATTTTTTCTAACAGAAATCAGAACTATTCCTAGTATTCTGTGAGCTGGTATGATATAATAGTTTATAAAATACCATTATAAGGAGGCAACCCAGTGGTTAACCATTCTCTTTTTCATTCACTTGCCATTTGTGAAAATAGCATTTTGGAGCATTTATCACATTGCTTTTAGAAATATCTAAGAATAATGACAAAGAAAATGGTTAACCACTGGGTTGCCTCCTTATAATGTTATTTTATAAACTATTATATCATACCAGCAGTAGTGTTATCAGATCTCACTTGCAAATATAGATCTAAACATTATTTCAATTAAAATTATTTTTAGATCTATATTTACAAGTGAGATTTGATAACACTACTGCTTGATATCTAGCTGTCCAAAATAAAAGCAAATAGAATTTGAAAACTTGGAACCACGAAGAACTCAATTTAGTATATTGAATAATTTAAAATTTGTTATATTGACATTAAATTATATAACAAGATACTAATATATATAGCATTATCGTTAATTAAGACGATTAATGAAATGACGTTATTAAGTTATTATTAAATTAAATCGAAACTTACTTCCATATATCATCTAAACATATTATCGTTCCAAAATATAATATAATAGATTTTTTTTCTCATCAAGTAATGAAGAATAAGATATTTTAATGTTGTGCTCTCTAAGATTTTATTTATATCAAATTCATATTATCAACACCAAAATTAACTATAATAAATAATAAATATGTACAAGTATTTTATGTATTTTAAAACTGACCTTGCTATGTGGCTTGAATATTATAGAAATACAATTAATCACCATTTTGATCAGAGTTATTCAAGTAGTTAAAAAATATACTTTATTAACATAACCTTAAGATATAAATTATTTCTAGTACATTTTTATACAGAAATGCTAAAAATAGTCAATCTATCAATTTATTATAAATGAAAGGAATATGGAGAGCAAGTTTACTTCATAACTGTCACAGTTAAACTAGACCAAATATACACGAAGCGCATATATAATGATATAAGAAAATATTTTATGTAAATAGTAATTTGAAATATTTTTCAAAAGCGTTATTTGTCACATAGTTAAACAATAACGGTCTGGTAATAATACGAAGACAAGCATTGCAATTAATATTTTTCAATTTGTTTATTCTTCACCCAGAAAAAGAGAGCAGAATTTATTTTCGGTTTAATTTAGATTTATATCAATACATGGAAATGATTTTTGGGTGTTATATATATATATATATATATATATATATATATGTATATACTAGATGACCCGACAGACGTTGTCCTGTACCCACGCAACAATTCAAAAGTTCCAACTTTTTTCCAATATCCTATCCTATGATTTTTAATATCCTATAATCCTATATGGTGTCCTGTTTTTGTGATTCATTTATGGTCTTAGCATAAGCAGTATAAGAAATTCAGAAAAAACTAATGTAGTTTTTGTTGTAAAATACTTTTTACCAGACAATATAATTGCTTCAATAATTTAGTCTATAATTTTCATAATCTCGTACGATATATTAGTTGCTCTTTGGCGTATATAATTTCTAAAGTACATTTTTCTTATTGATAATTCAATAAATATTATTGTTTATGTTCAAATCTTAGGTGAATTGATTTGTAAAATCTTGGTTATATGAGCACTCTTCAATCTAAGATCATAACGTAATAAATATTCCATATCCAATGCCAAACAAATGCATTTTTGACACATCAGACAAAATTCTAAAACATTTTTTTAATAAGTAGAAATATTTTTTGTATGTTTAAATAATTTAGTAAAGTGAAACAATGCATAAGTTTAAAACATTAATCTTTATGCAATTTTGGACTGATTGCATTATTTATTAAACTGAATTAGATAATTTCATTCATTTCATTTCATCGTTTTCAATGTTGAACAATGATAAGTGGTTTTCTGTAATTTTTACTATTTATTTCTACAGTATTACTATAGCTTTATCGTTCATTAAATCTTAAAAATTTCCTTTGACAAACTCTGAAAAGAATTAACAAAATCTGAATAACCGTCTAGAAGAAGTATCAAATCATACACCCGTACAGAAAAATTTTATTAACATATAATTTTCTCAATATTTAAAAAAAAAATTCCTTTTTTTTTCTTGACAAAGTTATGTGTTGGGGCGGCTGGGTGTTTTTTGTATGATTTGATTTTATGAGTAATCGACCACCCAAGCAAATGTTGAATTCACCATTTAATTTACTTTTCTCCTAGCTAACTGGTAAATTAACAAAATAATTGCTGAGCAAAAAAAGTGGTACAACCGTACCCAGTCTTCAATTAATTTTCACTACGGCATAAAAATGAGTGGAAAGACTAAAAATATCAGAAATAACATTTCTATAAGAATGAAAAATAAAAAAATTAAAATCAGTATGATCATCAAAGGTAAACTATTGGTGATTCACTAGTTCAGCAGATTAATTCTGCAAAAATTGTAGAAACAATGGATGAATTTTAATGAATATGCATGAATAATATAATAATGTTTTGTTCAATAATGGTAATCTTTGAGATGATTATTAATCATACTTTTTCTTGTGCTCTCTCATAAATAAATGTAAACAAGATATTGTAGGCTATTTATTTCAATACCATTATTCCATTAGCCGGTAGAATTACACCAAATTACACCAACTTTAAATTGCATCAAATTTAGACAATGGAGTCAAATACTATATTTAATGTTATACCTACATCTATAAATAAAACTAAAAATCTATCAAGTTTAAAGTATATAAAAGATTCGACTAATATAAAGAAAACGCTTTCCACTAATCAAAAATCCAAAAACTATGGTTTGTGATCAACCAAAAGATTCTGTCAATTCATCTACTTTGGCAATCAAACTTTTTTTTAAAAAACTTTAAATGATTGTATATTGTTTGTAAAGGTTTGTATCAAAAACTTTTCACAAAATTGTAAGAAAATGATATTGCAATAATGTCCTATTATATTTTCTACATTTATTAGGATATTAGGATTATGATACATTCTTACGAATTAATCAGAACATGAAACACCGTTTACCTTGTACTAAAAGTTAGAAAAGCTTTTAGAAAATGCCTCCTTATCTATGCCAAATATAAAAAGCTTTCATAAAAAGAATACTTTTAAACGCCTTCCAATCTTTTCCAAATATAAAAGTCTTTTTAAAACCTGTTGGAAAAATGAACATTGTTTCACACTTTTGAAAATATCTCAACGCTCATCAGTATTTGTAACAGCCGGAAGAAGAAGTTTATAAATCGCTAAAAAATCCAACTTGCTAATTTTATGTTTTTTTCGGTGTGTCTAGTCATTCTGAATCGTTTGACACCAAAATTGGAAAAAATGAGTTTGTCAAAAACCGCTACCCCGGTATCATGCCATTTCCTTAAAATTAGCATACAAGTGCAATACTTTTTGTCAACGTTTTTGCCAAAATTTTACTTTTAGAAAGATGTTGGGAATTGCCTGATTTGGTTTTGGAAAGATCGGTCGAGCAGTTTCTTCGCAATTGAGTATCAATTTTTTTGACGATTTTAATGAAACTTTGCGTTTTGATCAAGTTCTTTTAACCAACATTCTAAAATATTATAGACTTGCAAATAGATTTATATAATAAAAATTTATTATTGTTTGGAATAATGGACTGCGCTTTTGTAATCTTTTATTATAAGATGCCAAAGCTCAAATAAATCATAAATATTAATATACGCATATTAAAAAGTAAATTATTTACATATATCGGAAAATTCATTTAGGTGTACTACTTACTACTAGTACGATTACTACTAGTTACACGATTACATTTTGCCTCTACTTACTACTACTTAGTCTAAGTCCCGTGAAAACAATAACATATAAATGAAATTATATATGTTTGAAAATGTATAATGTTATGCAATGATTTGTTTTAAAAAATATATTAATTGATTAAGAAACCTCGTTTGGCAAAGGGACGTCCTTGGCGCCTGCCCAGGGCAATTAATTCTGTTCGAATTAGCAGACACCTTTGCACAAATCACTTTATTTATAATTTAAAATATCTAGAACAGCAGTCATTTCATTTCGACAGACTTTCTAGTAATATAAGAGCTGCTGTGAAGTTGAAAAATATTAATAAAATATAATAATGATGTATAAAAAATGACACGTTTTTTACATTATATTTTTTGAAATCTGATCTGCATATTTTTATATAAATTTAAGAAAAATCATTCACAATTTATTAGTTTATTAGATCAATATTCCAGAAATTATTCATAGAAACATTGTTTCTAAAATCATTCTAAGAAAATAATCTTATTTCGCGCAAAACATTTTTTTATCGTTGTTTATCAAAAAAGTAATTACGCAAAATGTAGATAAGCTGAACACATGATTCTGAGTCGAAAACTTGATTTTTTTTTTCAGATTTATAACAGTGAACTATTTTGCATGGTCACACCTCTCTGTAGAATTATTTACATTTGGCAAAAGATATGAATAACGTTTAATAACGTAATAATTAACGTTTTTAACGATTGAGATTGTTGTATGGTTC